ATAAATTTTACAAAATATTATTAAATTAAGACTTTGGCTAACTCATTTTCATTGTTATTTCAATTTTTTTTTTTTAATGTGTTTACTCTTGTATAGCCTGGGTCTATTGGGCCAAGAGATAACTTAGCCCTTATGAATGACAAAAATTTTGAACTAACAGTGCTGCATATTTTTTTCTATTATTAAATGTTTATTTTGGTTTAAGTTTTTCTTGTAATAATTAAGTTGATTGGATGATTCAAGCAGTGTAGCTAATTAAATTTTATCCTTATTTTATTCTAGAGGGATTTTTTGGTTATAATAATAGAAAAATAAGAATGAAACATTCAAGGTTAAAGGTGGTGGATTTAGAGGAAAATTTAAAGTACTATAGGGGAAATACATGATTGACTTTAGAGAATTATTAGTTTGAATTGTTCCGTTCATATTGCCTCTTTTCGACCTTTTTGCTTATTTTAGTAGTATATATGTAAATTTGTGCTTCTAATTATCATTTATAATAATAATTAAGTTATTTTTGTGTATTATGTTAGTTGTAAGATACGTAATAATTATATATGTTTATTTTATTTTTTTCAATAGAAACTTGAAAAGAACCAAAATACTGAAGAAGATGAAGCAAAATGGCTTGATCTGAGTGATCATGATCTTGCCTCTATCTTCATTCTCAAGCATGCTATGATTATTGAGCAACATAAAACTAATCTCACATTCTTTCGATTTGCTCCACTCACTTAATTTTTTTTTTGTAGCTTAATGTTGTTTCATTGCTTGTTTTTACTGATTGTTATTCATTGTTATTTGATTTTTAAATATATTTTTATGAATTAAATGTGCATTGTTTTTATTCTTATTCCTGTTGTTTTGTAAATAATTTAGTTTAATAATATATATATTGCTGATTTTTTTCTAAAGTCAAATTAAAAAAAGAACAGCAGAAAATTATGGATATTGGTAGTTTGGGTTTAGATTAAGCATAAACATTTAAAGTTGCCAAATTACCAGACCATCAGAAGTATTGAAAAAAAAAACTAAATATCTTTATTAAAGGAGAGTATTACATTCAGATTATATAAATAACAGAAAAATATACGGTTGGTAGTTGAATAATTTCACAATCTTTATAGTTGTACAACTATGTTTTTTTAGAGTGAAACTAATTTGGTATTTATTTGTCACCTAAAGTTCTCACAGTATAGGGATGGGTTTATAACTATCTACTAGGTATTAGTTTTAAACTGGCCAGATGTCTAGAGCAAATAATAGTTTCAAACCTGGTATGTTGCCCTGATTCAGTCCAAAAAATAGGATTATAGAGGTTTCTTTGTATATATATATATTACGTACTGTATACTTGTTTTTATTGCAATAAACATTCTTATCCAAGATTTTAGAGGTGTAAAAAATGAATAAAAACATTGGTATTCCCTTAAAAAAAAAAATTAATAGGATTCAGGTGTGTTTATCATTTATAATATCTACAATAAATGCATTTTTCTGTATGGAATATAACATACCTAGTGTTTTGTACCTTATCTTACTCTACAACACTAGCGGATCCAGTGGAAAGGCACAGAGATGCCCTCCCCAACCCCTGGGCCCATAACAGGCCCTTATATTATTATTGTTTTAATTGAAAAGTTAATAGGGTTAAACTAATAATTTTTAGTCATATTTTGTACTCAAAAACATAAAAAGTTTGAATATTTACACTAAAAATTCTTCATTTATTGGTGAAATACCTAAAGATTGTAGCTAAATGTAGTTGTTAGAGTGCTCTGAACTCTTGGAAACTATTTTAAATTCAATTTGTGGAAAAATGTGTTACAGGTTCATGGACGTCAATTATCCAGTTAAGGAATTTTATGGACAGTTAAGGAATTTATGGCAAAATAATAGACACAACAAAGAAACTGAAATACACATACACATATCTTTTCACATATATATTAAAGAATGCCAATAAATACATATACCAGAAACAAGTGCCTTTAGGGTCAAAATGGTCCAACGTTTTAAAACTAATCATATTATATAATATATATAATAAACTACACACCTTTCTGTGGAGTCCCAGGAGCTAGTGGACAGTCAAAGGTAATTAGTTGGATCCCTCTGTAGGAAATGCGGAGTCTGTAGACAGTCTGAAACACCAGCCAATGTGCTGAAAAAATATGCTAACAACTCCCTCCTTTTGATTAAATTCATTATATCAGTGTAAATTAAGCCGTTTTTAATATAATGTAGATTTATTCTCATTGATGTTTTCTAACAGGGCTTAAATGACTAGTTTTCAATATTTCTTCCCCTAAAGTACCTTTAATTTTTTTTTTGAATAATTAACCATTTCACATTAAATTTAGATATAAAAAAATGTTAAATATAAAATATGAAAGACTTTGATAATTCACTAAAGGAGAAATAAGAGTTCTTAAAAGAGTATAGTTAAATTCTTAAAACACTCATTACCTTTTAAAATATTTGAAGCAGTTAAGTACAAAATACAGTTAATACGCGGAAAAGCAGCACTGGCATCGGTGCCTAGAGTCCTCTGCCACATCATTCAGCAATAGCGGATCCAGAATTTAATTTTTGGGGGGGGGGCTTCAGCCCGAAAACTTTTTTTTTTCATAAAAATGACGATAATTACTTTGGGAAAAAAAATTAAGAAACGAACTATCTATATGAAATGGTGTTTAAGTGATTCTTTAAGTCCTTTTAAATGTAATTACACGAACAATAATTCTTGAAGAGATAATTATTTAATATATTTTTTCCAGAAGACATGGTTATATTTTACCATTTTGGGGGGGGGAGCCTCAGCCCGAAAGCCCCCCCTCCGTAGATCCGTCCGTTTCATTCAGTACTCATAAATGGCATAGTTATAGTGTTATAATAACGTTTTTAGTACATTATTTTGATTGTATTATCAAATGAATATTAATACAATAATTTAATTGTCCAAAACATTTTTGTTTTGAAGAAATCGAAATCTTCAGCACAGGCGGAGCTACGGGGAGGGCTTTTGGGCTGAAGCCCTCTCCCCTCCCCTCCCTCCCCCCCAAAATGGTAAAATATTAAGATGTTTTACAGAAAGAAATATTAAAAACTATCTTTTAAAATATTCTTATTCATGTAATTCGATTTAATGGAACTTCAAGAACCACTTAAACACCATTTCATATAGGTTGTTAATTTCTTTCTTTTTTTTCCTAATTAATTATTTTTATACTTATATGAAAAAAAATCTTTCGGGCGTAAGCTCCCTCCCAAAATTAAATTCTGGATCCGCTAGTGGTCTTCAGATAATAACAAGCTGTTAGGACATAAAAGTAGGTAATTTGGATGATATTAATTATTAAAAATGTGTTGGAATAAATTTCATTTGAAAATAACAAGAAAAATAGTATTTTTTGATAGCTAATTTCATTAAAATAAGTGAAAAATACTAAAAATAAAATCATAATTTTTTTTTCAAATTCCAAAATATTAATTACTTTGTAACAATTTGTATCTATGTTGTTAAGTTTTGAGAAATATGTTTCCTATGTTTAATTTAAATATTTGAGCCACGTCACCTATAAAAACAGATAATTTATGAAAAACTAAAATTGATGAACGTTTTTTCCGAATTTTTAAAACTTTACACATTTTGAAAGCTCGCTTTCTGTGGAGATTAGAAAAAAATGGTATGTACAAAAATTTCAGATAATTTTAAGCTTTTTAAAATTGAATATAACTATTTTTTATATACGTCTCTCTAAAACGGAGATATTTAGCGTGAACCAAAAAAATTTTAAAAATTCAATGGTTTTTTGAGCACTAAAGCGAATCCACAAGGCTTTCAATGGCGGAAACTTGGATTTTTTATATTCACTATGTAAAGAAATTTTAATCACGCGAACTTTTGCTAGACCCCTTTTTGTGCTAATTTGACTGGGCTATAAGCCAACTTTTCGATCTGTCGATCTTCATGAGCCTTTATCAAAAATTACAAATATCATACATCAACTTTAAATATATTTATGATTTGAAACTATTATTACAATAATCTTTTTTTCTACTTCTTAAAGTTGACCTATAAGTGAGAATGAGGCAGAAAAAGAGTTATTTTTTAATTTGATTTAAAGGGAAATTTAAATTTAAACTTAATGGTGGATTATAAGTGAGTTATTAGAAGTACTCCAAAACAGCAGCCAGAAATCAAAACGTTGGCATAAAATAAAACAAAGAAATTCCATTTTTTCTATGACTGCAACCCGCAATACTAACTATTATTTAATAATTAATTAATTAATTAATTATGTTTTTATTATATTATAATTAATTATTAATAAGTAATTAATAACTTACCAACCATTAATATAAAAAATTGTTGAAATGGTACAAAATAATATTTTCTTCATCCTCTAAGACGATATATTTTTTTTATTTGGAGTTCTCAACAAAAATTTGTTTGAAATTGACGAACCACTGATTCTGACCTCTTGTCTGTTTTATACTTTGGTTGTAATGGAAGTTGTAGGTTTACAGAATAACCAAACCAATTAAGTATAAATTATAAAATAATTTTATACTTAAGTTATAATATACTACTGGAAAACTCATTTATTAATGTTGACGAATTTGTAAAAATTGAATTTTATGATTTTCTTCGATAAAATAACTGAGTTGTATGAAATATAAGTCTTTATGGTAATGTGTTAAATAGGCAACATTACTGAATAGTTTCACTGAAACATCTACCTGTGTTTAAGGTGTCAACACTGGTTTATATTACGTAAATATGCAAGTGCTATATCTAATCATTTAATTATACAAACAATAATGGTAATGGGCTGTTTATTTTATTTTTTTTTTTTTACGACTAATGAAATAGTTGATTGTGATAAGATATATACTTAAATATGCCCTCATTCATGGGTGGTATTGATTAAGGTGCGCATGTCAGCTGAGAGGCGGTTAGAGGACTTATCGATCGACGGAGTACAGTAGCGAGGATGGAGGTGAGAAGGCAAGAGAGCATCCCCTTGAGCCAGGCCTCGGGGGTGAGGCCCCCCGTGGACCCGAACGCCCTGGGGGAGGTGGACCCCAACCTCTACCCCCAGCCGAAGGAGGCCACCCACAAGATCCGGGGCAAGTCGGATCTCATTGAGATGCTATGCGGTACCGTTGACCAAGAACTCCTTACCGTCAAGACCTTCTACTTCTTCTTTTACTCAGCCTTCGGATCTCTCTTCCCCTTGATGGGTATCTACTTCAAGCAGATGGGTATGAACCCGGGGCAGTGCGGTTTCCTCATCGGATCCAGACCGTTCATCGAGTTCCTTTCGGCCCCCTTCTGGGGCAGCCTCGCCGACAGGTAGGTTGACCCCCTTCCTCTACCTGGAATTTGATCTTTCCACCGCAAACGTTACATAAGTATATATCTGTTTAGCCAACACTCGAAAATATGGGAAGAAATCATCGGAATGGGCGAGAATATAAAACTATTATTGTACGAGCAGTAAATGAGCTATAAACAAAAATTAATTTATACACTATAATCTATTTTCTTCATTTCAAAGAAATATTTTTCAATGTAATGTCAAATCTATTATAACATTCAGTATTACGAACATTTTTTCCCAGAGAATTTCAAATAATATAGTAGATACTACCCATTTTTTTTATTATTAACTGCAGTAAATATCGTCGGTTTATTGCAAAAGATCGTTAAGTACATTTTTGATGGAGCTCAATTTTTAAAAAAGTTTTTTTGAATTAGATATTTAGATTTAAACTTTATTCATCAATATAAAAAAACACCGTAGCTGCAATGTAAAACGACATAAATCCTGTATTTATCAAATGTAGTTTCAACAATCAGACAATTTGCTGAGTTCATAGAGGAGAAATTCAAGAAAAATTAAATTCTTGGTGATTTAAGGTTATGAAATGTCACTTAATCAATTTTTGCAATAAACCTATCATATAATAAAAGTATATTTTCCGGCAAATTGTTCATAAGTTTCTATTTATCATCACTATTTTCATTAGTTTTATAAAAATACTTTATTAATCAAAGATAATACCACTTAATAAGGTTGTTGAATATGTATCCAGTGACGAACAAAACTCGTTATTAATGTTTTTTTATATCTAATTATTAATCGATAAAGATCTTAGTTTTCTTTTATTGTCAACAAGACAAGAAAAATTCGATGATAATCATGTTTGAGTGTTACCTTACTTACATATTTATTGTTGGTGGGTTGTGATGTAGGCACATCTAGGTCATTAGCGCCTGACCCATTGAATAATACTACTACAATCGTAAATCAATTTTACTACTTAATATTATTAGACTTACGAACTATTTTAGAATGTTCAAACATTCTTTGTTGTTGATTGCTCATATTAATTATTTTATTATAGACTAACATTGAGAAGTAATTAGAATTATTTTTACCTTCAAAGCCTCTTCAATAAATTTTCACTTGTTATTATTATTTTAATTTATTACGTTGATGAAAATATTTAGTTTAGTTTCATAAATTTTGCAGTAATGTGTAACCCCCTTAACATTCATAGATCAAATTTTAATTCTACAATTTTCATGATTATCAAAATAAATTGCCTGGATTTTAAATAGTGCTTAAGATGAACTTTTGTATTTATCCATTTTTGATAAATTCCCGGAATCTGGAAAAAATATATTCCTGAAAAAACATTTTGTATCTCTTAAAAATCTGCTTAAAATGCTCGAGTTTTTAAAAGAAACCTCTAAACTTTTGAATAGAATCAATCTGTCCATTATTCACCTTGGTACTGTTGAAGAAATTTAAGTTTAAGATTTTGGGAATTAGTCCATTTTTACATATTAAAATAAAAGCTCTTTTAAATTATTAATTTAATAAATCACCACGTTTTATTAAAAGGCCTCATAATTGACATTTCAAGCACTAAAATCTTATTGTTAAGCTGAAAGGAAGACCAAAAGAAATGTCCTTTCTTATATGATTAGAAATCAATAATTCCTCATTGGTTAGTTAAATGAAAGTTTATTAAAAGCTTATACATTCTTAAGAAAATAATTATTGAAACTGTTCCTGATAAAGTTTTAATATCTACTAATATAGTTCTTTTTTTAAACGATCTTTAGATTCATTTTCTGATATGTTTTCTACCGTAACGTGTGGGTCATTGGGTGTTCAGCTGTTGAATTGCTTAATTGTTGCTGTTGAATGACACTTTAATTTGAATGTAACATCACTTTAGACAACTTTGTTGGAAACTTTATCACTGTGTCAAATATCTCGCGTAATACCACATTCTTCGGGATAAGTCGTTTTCTTAAACATGGGCGTATCTTGAAGTTTAACCTTTTTCATAGACATTACTTCAGATTTCTTCGACTGACATTTATATAATATTATCTGCTTGACTTTATTTGTGCTTCGATAGTAATTTTCCATTCATCTTTTTTTCTAATAGATCTCTTCCTCCAGAATAGTTTTCCTGGACATTTTGGTCTGTTCCATACAATTTATCGGATTTTTATGATGGTAATAGTGTTGAATATGTTTTAAACTTCCACTTCACTCGTTTTTTTTTTGTTTCTGAGCTTTAATCCCACCGTCATTATTGAGGATAAGGGTTTTAACCAAGTAAAAACATAGAGAAAATCATTAAAATAATTTTCCATATTTTTCTTGTATTTATTTATTATGAAAAAAACAATGACTAATCTTTTTAAATGTGTAACTTATAGTATTTATATATTTATGACAGGTACCAAAAGGGCAAACAGTTGCTACTACTGTCACTGCTATGCTGGATAGTATTTACCCTACCATTAGGATTTATTCAACCACCAGCCAAATCATGCTTGGCTCGCAATGGGACCCATTACTACTTAGACACTCCAACTATACACGACTTGCGGAAGCGGGAGGCCTATTCTTACCTTGAAGAAGAAAACCCGCTAATTAGAGAAAAGAGAGCGACCAGAATCCGGGGCGCTGAGCCGGGAATGTCGCCACTTGATGTGAAAGATGTCCGTGCTGTAAATTACAACGAGAAGCTGCACAATAGTTGGGTCAAACCGCTCTTCAGTTCCATTGTATACCGTACTCAGGTAATTATATTTATTTTTAAAAATATTTACTACATTGTCTTTTTGTTTATTTATTTATTTTTATGAATAGACTTCTAAATACTAATGAGATCAGACTCTAACTACAATTAGGCACATTCCATGCAAACAATTTTTAGTTCAACTTGACAGCATTAAAATTCCGCTTACGACATTGACAAAGCCATAGAAAAACTTAACATATCAATGTCAATTAGTATAAATGATAATACATCTCATTACAGGAAAAACACAGGACAAGATCGAAGTGGCATAGGACCAGATATTCTACTGATAAAACTTACTGTACCCAATTAACTAACATACTAAAAGCAGACATTAAAAAATTCAAAAATTACTCGACCTCACTGAAAATCATACAACTACCGACAAATCATTATGGACGATCACAAACTCTTAAGTTTAAAAACTTTAATCATCCATTTCTTACTGGAGCTCAAACCTAATCCAAATCGTAGCAAGAGAAATCTCTAGAATTTGCCCACCACCTCTTAAAAATCTTCAATCCACACCCTGATATCCTTAATCCAAATCACCTTGGATTTATTGAAGCAGAATTGGATATTTCTCTCCAAATGACTTCTCCATCTAAAGCTTTTCATACTTCAGAAATATCCAATATCATTTACAGATTACGTTCTCGCAAAACCCCTGGCCATGACCTAATCACATCTCCGATCTTAAAACTGCTTCCTCGAAAAGTCATCCTATTCCTTGCCTACTTATATAATGCTGTTCTCCGATCCACATATTTTCCTGATCTCTGAAAACTACCCATTGTCAAAATGATACACAAACCAAAAAAGCCACCCCAACACCCATCCTCTTACCGTCCTATCTATCTATCCCATCTATCATGGGCAAAATTCTAGTGTAGCTCGTCCTAAAACGCCTGTACCCCATCCTAGATTCTAATCATATAATCCCTGATCATCTATACGAGAGTCTTTATCGACATTGAGCAGGCGTTTGATATGGAGAGTATGGGATTACTGTAGAAACTCCATAAATTCCTACCACCTAAATACCTCCTCATTATTCTTTCCTAGTGATGGATACTTCAAAGTAAATCAAGACAATGCCTATTCATCCCTCTTTTCCCAATCTGCTGGTGTTTTTCAATGTAGTATCCTAGATTCAATCCTTTACACAGTTTATACAGCTGACATCTGAACCCATACAAACTATGCCAATGACACATATTTACTATTAGTTAATAACGCCCCATCAATTGCATCGTAAACTCTTCAATCCCATCCCACAAACCTTGAAGAATGGCTACCCCACTCATCCTTGTTGAACAAATCTGATACCTGGGACTCCACCTGGACAAACGTCTAACTTGGAATTCTCATACCTGACTGAAATGACTAGAAACCGCTCAATGTTTCCGTCTACTACAGCATTTACTTAACAAACGCTCTAAGTTTTTATTTAATTACAAAAGACTCATGATATGTGGATATGACTATAATAATGCATGACTATAATAAGGAATATTTGGACTTACGAAGTTAAGTTTTGGGGCTCCATTAAACCATCAAATTCCTCTCGTACCCAATCTTTACAATCAAAAATCCTGAATGCTCCTTACTTTGTTACAAATAAAATAATCCATAACGACCTGAATGTTCCATATTTTTTTGTCCCAGATACTTATCTATATATATATATATATATATATATATATATATTATATATATATATATATATATATATATATATATATATATATATATACATACATATACATATATAAATCTAAATTGTAAAAAAACTTAACAGGAATCATCTTTTGTTTCTAATTTATTGTACAGCCAATTTGGCTAAAAAAATATGAATTATAGGCAAGCAGGACTACCCATGCTCCAAAGGAGGATGGGTACTCCTGCTTGCCCATAACTATGGAGTGTAGAATAAATATGGAGCAAACCCCCCTCTTCCTCTTCCCTCCCAAGAAAATCTATTATAACCCTTAGAAGCCATGGAAATGAAAGTAAAATTATATTTAAGCTGTAACTAAACCTTTTTCCTTTGGTTTGAAAGTTCTATTTAATTCAAACCTCACAAAAATATGGTTTCCACTAAAAATTCATAACCCTTAAATATGTGTCCTAGAACAAGGACAGAGTACCGAGATTTTAAAATATCTTAACGTCAAGATCTTGGAAATGACCAAAAAGCTCTATAAAATAATCAGAACAATCTAATAACAAATTGTTAATTTTATATCTAATCATCAATTTGTATTTCGTACATCTCATTCAACTATCCAGCAATGCCATCATGTGGTAGATGTAGTCTCCTCTGCATTAGAGCATGGAAGGTACAAGTTAAATCTTTTTCGGAGGAGAGAAGGGCTGAGAGGTCAAATATTTTCAATATAAAGCCCCATGCCTTGATGAACTCCTTTGGAGGAGTTAAATTTGGGGTATGGTCATGTTAAGCGGGATAATAATTACCTCACATAAAATATTTATTTTATTCATAGGTTGTATAGTAGAACAAATAATAATTCATTATTGACTGTATTGTCAGAATGTTAAATTGACGATTAATAAAGGGAATTCAACAAAATGAGCATTTTAATCCCTTCCACTTCCTTCAAGATCTGATTCATTCTGATTCCTTCAACAGGCTACTTTTTATGTAATCTTATAAGTTTTTTCAAGTATTGAATTATTGAGTTAGAAGTATTTGTAATCTGTTTTCCTCATTTTTATTTCATTTTTAATACTTCTGTTATCAAATTGACTTCCATCTCTTTACTGCTTCTAAGCTACATTTTTTGAATATCAAGTTTTCCATTATATTTTTCTCTTAACTTACACAAACTGTATTTTAGGACATACAAAAGGCCTTCTTGCTGTTGCTATTGTTGGTCATCATTGGAGAGTTCTTCAGTGCACCTGCAATCACCTTAGCAGACAGTGCTGTCATTACCCTTCTTGGTGAAGATGCTGACCAATATGGAAACCAGAGAATGTTTGGATCCCTTGGATGGGGCTTAGCCATGTTTTTTGTGGGAATAGCTCTTGACCATTCAGTAGCATTTCCCGATCATCCTTGTGTACCAGATTCCAAAGAAAAGAACTATACCATTTGTTTTGCTACATTTTCTGTTCTTATGGGTGCTGCACTTATCACTGCTACCCAGATCAATTTTAAGTATGATCCTATAGAAGAACCTGTGGTGATTGAAAAGGTAATGGATCCTGAACAATCAAGAGAGGATTACCTGCAAAAACAATTAGCACAGCAATTAAATTTACCAGCCCTTGCTGATACTTCAGCACCTGCTCAAACTCAGCCTAATGTTGGAAAGGTACGTTTTTTTTTTTGTTCTACTTTTGCTCAATAGAACATTAGTTAAATTAAAAATCATAAAATTATTGAAAATAAGTTGGATAATGGATCGATGAATTATTTGTTGTATTTTGAGAGTGTAGTTTTTATTCTCATAACAATTTTGTTCCAAATCTTATTTATGATTCTATTCCCTTACTCCTTGAACCATTCCTTCCATTCCTGTCTGTTAACATTTCTAGTGAAATTGTAATTTTATTATATCATACCAACCTTGTAACAATATCCTGATATAATTTTGTATAATATAAAAGATGAATAATGCAATGATGTCTTGTTATGTACTACTATAAGAATATCATATTTTATTGTTTTATTAAAACAAAATGTATTAAAAATATTATTTATTTACTCCTAAAAGTTTTCTTAATTAATTTTCTGCTATTTTTTCAGTCACAAATGTTTGCTCAGACAATGAGAGAGATACCAGAGTGGGTTACAGTTCTCAAGCACTTTGCCAATCTTAAGTGTGGATCATTCCTTTTTGTAGCTTGGTTTATGGGATTCGGTATTGGACTCATTTTCACATTTCTCTTCTGGCATCTACAAGATTTTGGTGGCACACCAACACTCTTTGGAGTAGCTTCAGTAATAAATCATATATCAGAGATATTTGCCTATTTCTTTAGCTTCCGGCTCATCTCACAAATGGGGCATGTTAAGGTATTATATATTTTCAATTATCTATTATTTAATTATATATATATATATATATCCAAATCATAAATTTTAAATTTTTAATCTTACATATATGTATTTTCCTTATTAAATCTAAAACAAAATTAATCAATTAACTGAGTAAGAAATTGGGTTTTCCAATAGAAGTATTTTTTAAATAATTTATCAACTCTTGAATCTGTATAACTTTAAATAACCCAATGCTAATCTATTTCAGTGGAAATCTTTTTTCCTGTAGCAATTGTATTTTACAATATGAAATGGAAGGAATTTCTTATCTGAAGAAGTGACTCATTTCTAACATGTTCTGAAATCATTTGGCTTTGCATACTTTAAGTCTACTAAATTATGTGACCATAGTTATTTAATTCTGAACTTTTATTTGTATAAAAAAAATTGCAATAGCAACTAAAGGTAATTCTCACTATAAAATGCATTGGGTGAAGTGAGTCGTTAAAAAAAAAAGCCAATATTTTTTTTGCTAGAAGAAAGCTTGCTACAATTGTAATATCCTTTTTAAAAAGAAAAAGAAAATGGAATTGTCAAATAGGAAAAATGAATCCATTAAAGAAAATTATCTATTAAAAAAAAGAACATAAAAATCTTTTATTTTTCTTTTCAGGTGCTTTGTTTGGGACTTGTAGGAAATATTTTAAGATTTCTCTATATATCCTATCTAACCAACCCTTGGTGGGTTCTTCCATTTGAATTCATGCAAGGTATGAAACGTCTTATTATAAAAATTTACACAGGACACTGAAGTATAATTAATTAAATTAGCAATACTGACTGAAAATAATAATTATTTTGTCTTATAGGAATAACCCATGCTGCTGTCTGGGCAGCTTGTTGTTCCTATATTGCTCATAATACTCCTCAGCATCTCAGAAGTTCAGCTCAAGGAGTCCTTCAAGGACTTCATCATGGTTTAGGGCGTGGTTGTGGTGCTGTTTTTGGCGGTATCTTTGTTACATACTTTGGTATGTGATTCTATTTTAAAACAATTATGAATTTAAAAAAAATAAATTTCTGTAATGTATAACATAGGAACAGAACATATTATAAGTGACCAACTTCACAGAAGTAAATAATAATTTATCTATGAGTTGAAAACTGTTTAATATAGTTTTGCTGTTTAATATAGTTTTATTTTATTATTTTATCATAGTTCTGCAGAATATTTTTTAAGTAAACATCAGATACACATATACAAACCTATATAACACAAAAAAAACAAAAAACAAACAGAATTAATGAATAAGGAATTACAGGATGCAGTCATATTAAAAATATATTTTTACTTTAAAATAGAAAAGTTGCACTTATAACATCTGTGAGGTTGACCATAAGTGTTTTCTTCTCTAAGTAAATGGTAATTGCTCTAGCAATGTTAAGCGTAATTTAAGGAATTTATTTGATATCTGTAAGTTGTTTATGGTTCTCAGCATTCTGTTTCTTATTATAAATGTTCTGTATAATTATTATATATCGCAAGTTACATATCTGACCACTAAACTCCATCTAACATCTTGGTGGCATTGATAGACCTTATTTATCTATTTTAAACACCTTAAGCCATTCTTCCTACTCCCCCCCTCTCTCCCTCCAAATTCCATGATTAATAAAATTAATTTTATTAATTATAAATTGTTTGAGTATTTTCCATAATATAATGAATATTTCTAAATTTATTAATACTTCTCTTCACATTATTTTTTTTTTTCTTTTAAGGATCTACTGCAACATTTAGAGGGTATGGTCTTTTTTGTGGTGTAATCTTGGGCGCATTTGTTTTTATTAATTTCTACAGAAAAGATACTGGATTTGTGTCAGATATACCAGTTACTGAAGATCCACATCAAGTAAGTTTATAGATTGAGTTTCTACTTTTTTATATATATGAATAAGCAAACAGTACCTATTATGCTTTTGCTGCACCTTATGAGAGGTGTTACACCTAAAAGGTACAAGCTATATAATTACAAGATCTCTGTTCATATTTAATTTGTTTGGTCAAATAATTTTTAGCAAATGAGGAAGTAGTTAAATTAGGCTGTATATTTGACTAATTGTTATGAAACTTCATTTGTATTTAAACATTATTTTAACAACAAAAAAAGAGAATTAAAAAAATACATATAGGAATCTTGTATTGTGTTCAGTTTGGTACAGTGAGAGAAGCTACTCCAATCGACCTCCTCCTGCAGGAATACCTCTGCCGGCCCACTATTAAGAGGGAATGCTTGGCATATTTACCAGCGAACATATGAAAGAGAATCAGTAAAGATCCCAGAAGATGGAAGATGGTCCTCCAGGAGAATATATTGAAAAAATGGAATCGTGGATCCGTGATAATTCCAAATGGGTCTACACTGAGGAAGTTCTTTCCCATCATCGGATTGTACCTAGACAAAACATGGGTTCTCCCGGACTACTGGGTCTCACAGATTCTCATGGGACATAGAGTTTTCAAAATGAAGCTTTTTAAACATGGTAAATACATAAACCTCTTCTGCACCACTTGTAGCGTACCAGAAACTGCTGAGCATATCGTTATCGCCTGCACCAACTATGAGAAACAGAGGCCCAAATTGATGAGGGAGAAAGGGCTCTACATTTTAACAGAAAACGAGTTTCTTCAACTGATATCTAAACAGGAATAGTCACACTTTAAAAGCTTTCTGCACAGGTGGAAAAAAACTGTGGACTCAGACCACTTCACAGAAGAGGACAAGAAGATGGTGGCCAAATTGAACAAGAAATGAAAGCAGGCTGTGTGCACAGAAACTTATCATAATATAAAACATAAACTTGCAGCAGTGATTTATTATGTAGGCATGTGTGTCAACTCTCTGCTGCAAACTCATGTTTGGTTTTTTCGAATTACCACTTCTTAGGAGAGGTTAAACACTTATAAACAGTACATTAACAGCTTATTAAACAATATATGTGATAAGGGCCTCCCTGTCTTAATCAACGGTTAACCTCAAAGCTACTGAATACATCCAAACTGGTTTCGACTTTGCAGCTAGTCCTTTCGGTGTTCATCATCCTCAATCTTATTCTTAACTCCAGTGACTGTAAAGCCTCCAATAGCTTTACATGATAATTAACAATCATATTGTTAATTAATAATTTAAGCCATTAAATTATAAATTTAATTAATAACAGTGCTGCAGAAATGTAGAAACCTAATTTAACTGCTTCCTCGCCAATAAAGATTTTATAAACCTACAACATTAATGGGAATAGATCATTAATGTTCTTTACATAATAATGTACTTATTATTAAGTATATTACAAGAGTTTAATTTAGCTTATTATTATGATAGGTTATTGCCTTGAAAGTATTATGTATAAAATACATATAATACTTTCCTAATATAAAAAGAATTATGTATTGTCTTGAAACTGTTTTAAAAAATACTGCTTCAGGTGGCCGAAGAAACAGCACACTTAGCTCCTCACGGCGTGCCTAGCAATCCAATCCCTAGAGCTTTATCTAGTACAAGGTTGCATGAGCTAGCAACCAATGAGCCTGGCTATGGTGCTACCTACAACACCACTGGAGGCAACCTTGATATTCCTGGTCATTATCAACCACAACCACAACCTCAGCCAGTACCAAGTAATATAAGTTTAAATTTAATCTATTTAGTTCTAATATATCTTTACTTAACAATTACCTAATATGTATATCTAAAAGAAATTTTCTTTTTATATAACCTGCATTAAAATATATATATTTCTAATTTAAATTTCAATATTTATTAACATCTAAAATTTGATTTGTATATTAATTATTCTACTCTAATATTAATTAGGTAATCCTTCAAATCCGTTCCTAACTGGAGTACCTGGTGGAAACTACAACTATCAACAGACAAATTATCAACCTACTAATTATCAGCAGCAGTATGCGCCTAATGGTGATCCTTCGATGAGACATCAGTACCAGGTAATATTTTATACTAATAGATAGCTATGAAATCATTGTATTTGTTTTGATAAGGCACCAATTGTTTTAAATTATAAGTAAAAACATTTACTAAATTACAGGATTTTGACAATCATATTATAATATCTTCATGTGTTGTTTAATAAGTTTTACTGTGATTTTTCCTTAATGCTCTCTATCCACTGAGTACTTTTAATATGCTTATTTTCTAGAGCTTTGTATCTGAAAACTATAAATATTTGCCAATTAACAGTTTAGGTGATAGTGATTCTAGAATCTTTATTGGTTTAAATTAGATTTGGTTAATGAAATTCTAAGTGCTCTCCTTTCTCTAAACAAGGGGTCAGAGGAAAAACTATGATTCACTCTTGATTCAGTTATTTTTGTGAAGAGATTAGAGATGTAAATACCAGAAAAAAAATATATATACATACACACACACACACACACACATATATATATATATATACATTATTTATGCTGGGACAAGCCTCTTTACAATAATACAGATAGTCACAAATTTGGGCTATAGAGCCTCAGAGATATATAAAAATATCACTAAGTAAATAAATAGTCCTAATAAAAAAAGTTTAAATTGCTTCCTAATTTAGGAAAAATTAAATTAAGAAAAACTAATTATAGAAATTAAGAAAAATTAAATTATATCAATAAAAAAATTTAAATTATATAAATTAAGCAAAAACAAAATTTTAAATAATTAAGAACGATCTAATAAGTTACTGAGTTAAGTGAAATATTTATAGTGACTTCAATTTGCAATTTTATTGGTACTGATCGGATAAGAAATGATTGAACAGGTGGGATTTAAAGGTAGGGAGGATGTTGGAGCGGTAGATGTAGGATGGGATGGAGTTCCATAGGGATGAGGATCGGATAATGATCGATCTCTCGAAAGTAATGGTGGGACCTTGTATATAAATCCAAAGACTATTGCAGTAATATACTGCAGGAATGAACAGAGGATTAGAATTGAAGGAGCTCAGAGATGTATGAAAGACCGCAGAATTAGATGACTTGGAATAAGAAGGATGCCAGGAAATACTTCCGATGGTAGGTATGGTAAAGCCACTTCAACTCTTCATAAAAACTGGGAACAGAGGAGTCCCTTGGGATCCAGAAGATGAATCAAACAAAGCAATTCATCAAACTTTTTAGTTTCGCCTTGAGATCTCCAGAGATGCCCCCATATACTGTACAGCAATGATCAAAATGGGGAAATATTATATATGTATGTATATATATATATTATATATATATACATACATATAGTATATATATATATATATATATATAATATATATATATATATTTATTTATTTATTGTATCTATATTTTCCAAATATATTGATATAATAATTCATTATGTAGAAATATATATCAATATATAAGGATATAGGAACAAGATATAGGAAGATATGTCAATATTTCACTATATCGGTCCTCAATATTTTTAGTCTTTCAATAGAGTATTAATTTAAATATTGAATAATAATATTGATCCAGTATATTAGTATATACAAAGAAATATTCCAAAATATCCGTAGATATAAAAGCTTAGGAGGATACATCAGGCAGATGAAGGAAGAAATGGAAAGACTTGGAATAACGGACCAGGACTGTCTGGACAGAGAGGGGTATGGTAAGAGACTAAAGGAGATCACGGTTCTTGTTAAGAAGAAAAGTTCGAGAAAGGGAGTCGCGTGGACGGAAGAGAGAAAGCGGCGGCACGCGGAGATAGTGAGAGAGAAGTGGAAAGAAAGGAAAAAGAAGAAAGAAGAGAAATGTCATGATATTCACGAGGTCTCTATGGCCGATCCGTGAAGAAAAAAAAAATATATTGATCCAGTAATCAAATATATTGATATTTCATACCTATTTTTTTTTTAACTTTTGAAAGAATGAGAATAAGATTAAATATTGGACTAAAATATCAATATGTTTTTATAGAATACTTTTGATCAATATTTCAACAAATAATTATGTGTTTTATGAAATTTATGTAACAATAATGATGAAGAAGCAGGTAAGTTTAAGCAAATATGATCTCTTGGTGGAGGAGGTGCATCTAATAGATTTCAATCCGCAATATGCCGAGGTTCAAACTGATGAAGGCCGAGAGATGACAGTCTCTTTAAATCACTTGGTACCAAGCGGTGATTCATCCAACCACTCGCCACTGGGCGACAGCACTTCCATTCACCTGATCCCATGGGATGACTCTTTTCTGGATGCATCCTCACAAGTTTCACTGCAAGAAGTTCACCACCCAAATGAACTACAGATGCAAGAACAGGGAAAATAAAGAGTTGGATACAGCGCAACCAATACGCCGTTCAACAAGAGGGTGTTGCATGCCGGACTGGCTAAAGGATTATATTCTTAATTCCTGAAGGAAGGAAGAATGTAGTACCATATGTTATAACCCATACATAACCTATTTAGTTATGTATAAATTATAAATGTTATCTATTGTTAGGAGTAATCTTATGAATACTATAGTGTAAAATTAAAATGAATAAAGCCTTACATTAATTCTAAAGGTTTTTATTACATGACTTTACTGAATGGCAGAGCTAAATTACTGCAATAAAATAATTTATATTATTTGTTGCATACATAGATATAACTATATATTTTTAATAAAATTAAGTTAATGGTTATTCTTTTTTAAGTTAGAAGTAATAACATTGATGGTTATTGTAACAATTTATGTTTATGCTTCACCTCAATTATTATTATAAATTGTATTTTTCAGGGGCAGAATGAAGGATATGGCGGAGGAGGCACAACTGTAACATCAATGTACACCCAACAGCCCCAATCAGAACAAAGAAGTTACAACTGGTAGTTTATAACAAACAAAGAGGCCCTTTTAGTTAATAAAATATGTGTGTCATTTTGAAGCTTTGAAATGCTTACATTACAATGGGATGGTACTAAAAATGTAAGTGGGAAAAAAATCTTTAAATGACAAAAGACTGATATTCGTTTTGTTTTTTAGGTTTTAGCACTTAATATGCATAAAATACAACCACACTTAGATCAAAACGAATTAAATTGAAAAAAATTAGATCTTTAAGTCTGATGTTTATATGAATTCTATTAATGAAGATGCACTATTTAAACAGAATTATCAATATCTTGATTCATTGATAGACAATTAAGTAAAAAAGAAAATTATATTAAGTTTGTTTTGATCTAAATGTGCTATATATAAATCTTATTTTTTTTAAACATTTGATTTTTGAATTATTTTTTCTCTGAATTTAATAATATTCTAGGAAAGGGTTCACCTTCCTTCTATTCACATTACAGGCAATATTGTAAATTCTTTACCTGTAAGTTAATAGTGCACATGTATCCACTAATTGACAACTAATAGAAGCACAAAATTCATGCATCCAACAACCAATTCAAAGAATTACCACTCATACTATTGTAGGCTAGCTGTAATACCACCATTATATAATTAAAAATTTTGACATTTTGCCCATTTAGTTTAAAATGTTTTCAAACATTACTTCTTTAGGAAAAAGTCTTGTATAATTCCTAAAAATAAAAATTAGGAAACAATTTTTATTCTGTTCAATTTTTCTTTTTTATAAATTAATAAATTATTTCCTATAACAGATATTTTTGGTTTGGTTTTAAATTTTTTTAAAATTATAAATGAAATGCAATTAAAATTTTGTTATCAATAATGCTTTCAATAATTGATAACCTGATAAAAGAATTGCTTGTGGTTGGCTTAAGTAAAGTTTAATTTAAAATTGTTCTCTTGCCTTGTTCCTTCGAGTGGTATCGAGCCATCTTGAATTATTTATTTTTCTTTGGTACATTCAATAAATAGAAGTACATGTCATTTGATACAATATAATTGCTTTTTTAAAGTATAACAATGTTGTTTTACCTATAGTAAAGTTAATGATTGAATGTGTTAATAAAATATTCTTAACATTTGCTTCTGCCTATACTTGTATTTAGTATTCAGCTTAAACAATTTACTTATCGTGAAAACCTGTCATTTCTACTTTGAAATGTTTTGAAATATATATTCGTATTATTAAATGTGCCAAGGATTTTAATATCTCCGAAAGGATTTGAATCAAAGCAGATCACTTTCATGTTTTTTAAATAAATATTCTTCCAAGGATATTTAATGTTTTAAAACTTTAATTGTTTATTAAGTATTAAAAAAGTAGCATGATTTTATCAAAAATTGTGTTTTAATTGAAGACAAGTAAATTTTAATAATAATAACACCGATATCTTTTTTTTTTTTCCATGAAATTGCTTTCTATGTGATAAAATTAAAAAAAAAATAATTCCCTGCCAAGTTTGTTATTTAAAGTAATTATTTAGATTAATAAAATTACATTATTATAAATTTTTAATTACTCCTAAGTATTACATTGCTTTTATTGTTATAAATCTTTATATAATTTGATTTTTAAGCAAATGTTATTATGTAATTGCACATGACTGATCACCATAAATCTCATTACTATAACTAACTAACATAGCAACTATAATGGTTGTAACTTATAGGTTTCTTTCATGTACGACATATCCGATATCTAAGTTACTTGATTTTTTTTTAATACACTATAATTACTGTTGTTCAGAACAATCAGTCAGGAAAAGTCAGTATAGCGTCTTTTCTTGGTATCCTTCCTTTATATAGTTTGACATATCCTTCGATTGTCTAGTATTACTGAAAATTTGATTTAACAATTAATCAGACATACAAGTTTAATAAAACCTTATCCTTTTTTCTGTTTGATTTCGTCATGTTTTTACCTAATATTAAAATTGTATTTTGTTGTCTGAATTTTCATTACCTTCATAAATCATTTCAAACTTGAGATGTCTACTAACAAAACGGGATTGTAATTTTTGCTTTCCTGTCGCTTCTAGATATGGAAAGTATTGTAATCAGGTCAAATTTTTGATATGTGGTTTACAATAGATCTTTTCGTTTAAAATCCCTCTGAGCTCAAAAAAATGTATTTTCAATCATTGGTCAGTGTGTGTATGTATGCCATGATTGTTTCTTGAATACGTTGTTGCTTTTTGTTTTTGTTTTGTAGGGTTGAATCTGCTGATGTATGTGTACCGAATAGGGCATCCTGTATAAAATAGGTGCTGTCTAATAAGAGAAAAATGTCTTTTTTCATTGACTATAGCGCCAAAATGGCTCTAATGATTTTGATGAAACTTGCCTAGAGTCTTCTTCTAAAAGCCTCTTTAATTTAGTTCTGTATTAGACTTTTTTTTTTTTTAGCTCAAAAGGTATATCCACTGTCAGAAATTCATTCTATCAATAGACTACTTTTTACAAGTTTTTTAAAAATTCATGTATTTATTTATTTTTACAAAATTTTCGAGCATGATGTACTACTTTTTATTCATAGAAATCTCACTTTTCTGTTGTACTAAAATATGATAATTTTACTGCTAAATAAATTCTTGTCCAATGTTGATGAAAATGTTGCTGGTTCCATCTGACCAACCATATCACCTCTTCAACCACTAGTGGTACATTTTACTAATGTACATTGTTGGCAAAATTTTCACTCATCAGTCAAAAGTTTCAAACATAGGTCTTAGATTTCTTCCAGATCTCTCAATAAAACAATTTTGACAAGTACTGTAATTCAAATTAAATTTTATATAAGTATTGTTTTTTTAAATAATATGTTGATCCGTTTATTTGAGTAACTGATTTCATTTTTTATTAACGTTCCTAATGAATACATAATTGGTGTATTAGTTACAATGTATACCTACCTATCTGTGAATACAAAAAAATTAAAGAGACTATATTTTTGCTGTAAAAAATAGTAAATAAATAAAACTAATTAATTTAATATTATTTCTTCAGTTTCATGTTAAATCAGATAGTTTTTACATGTTAAGTGAATTTCCATGAATGTAGCTATTAATCACCATTTGAGAAACCAGGGCATCATTTTTATAAATGCAAAGAAATTACTGAATATCGTATATTCTATCACTATCCTTACATTTAAGTGATAAATTAGTTTATTTATATTTAATTTGATTGGAAATTTAACTATTAATTTAAATTTGAATAGGTTTCTGGATTAAGTAATGGATTTTATAAGAGTGATTATATTATTGTATATATTAATAGTCTTATTAATTTGAATAATATGAAGTATAAATAATCTGATTTATTAGTGCCATACAACCCACTACTTTTAGTAGACAATATAATGTAATGACCCTCCCCTGAGTGGAGCAATAATGGTGGTTCTATTAATCAGCTTGTCGAGTGATTTCCATCTAGAAAAAATTATTATTTTCCTATTGGTGTCAATAATATTTTTTGACTAATAAAATATTTCTATATTGTTCATAAATAATTAGTGGCACTGTTTTAGTTTTAAAATATGTAAGGTCTTCATTTATTCAATAGGAATCTGAGTTTTGTAGAGTAACAACCTTGCACAATATTTTTTATTATTTATTCAGCTTTGTATTATATTTGTGTGCCTTTCCTCATAATCGATCTGAAAGAATTAAATGTTAAAAATATTACTGTGTAATATTAATGGATATGTGATGATCATACATATCAATGTCATGTTGTTTCTTTGTGTATATTTTAGAAAAATGTTTATTTCTATTGATCTGTTATGTAGTATTTATTGATAAGTGTTATAAAATTATTTTAATATCTGTGATTAGCTGAAAATAGTATTATCTTTAGTAAATTATGGTTTTATTTTCAAAAAAACAAAAACAACTAAAACATTTGAACCTGTGACTACGTTATTGTTAATTTATTTTCCATAAGTAGGGGCAGGAACTTTATGCTGTTAAAAATCGAGTTCAATAGCGACATTTTTCTTTAATTTCTTTATGAATTTAGACATTTTAGCAAAATTAAATCTATTTATTTTGTTGATTACTGTATTAGTCTGATATTTTTAATAAAAATTACTTTTACTATTGAATGTTAAATGATACTTAATGTTAAAATTAAGTACAAATGATAGTGTCCAGTTTCATTAAAATATATTTGATGGGGATAGGAAAAAATAAAATAAACTTTAAATTTAAATAATAATTTATAATAATACAATAATTTTTGTAGAAAAGGCTTGTTTAAATTGATTTCTCATTCAATCTTTGAATTACACATCGAATCAAACTAGGAAGCAATCCATATGGCTGCTAGTCTCTATTGATATACAGCAGACTCCCTCTTAACTGGCTCTCCGGATTAAGCGACAGTAGCGGTAAAAAAACAACAAAATTTTTTAACATCCTTAAAAGCACTTATAACTTTGTGAGATTCTCAACCACTGTTTATAAATTTAATTTTTGTTGTGTTGCAGTTTGATAGATTTTAAATAGATTGAAATGTGTACAAAAAGGTTTTTGTTTATTATTTTTTTACAATTGACCAAACCTCAGTAAAACAAATTTATTCGAAGTAAAATTGGTCCCTGAAACAAAATCATTATCCTTAATTTATTTCCTAGAAAAAAGAAATAAGAAACGAAGAAGAAATAATGCATAATTACCGATGAACTACTGTTTAGTGACAAAATGAGTGAAAAAAGAAAATGAGTTATTGTGTCTTTGAAAAATATTTTTTTAAAGATTCTTCCGCCATATTCATATAATATTGAAATTTTTTAAAATTATAAACCTTCTGTATTATGAGGACGAATAAGCGGGAGTATACTGTATTAACTTATTAAGTGCCTTTCGTTGGAGAGAGGAAGTGCTATCAATTACTTGATAATATTATAATCCCACCCTAATATTATCAGTATTAGATTTTTTTAATGAAACAAACACAATGTTATCTTC